ATATGTGATAGCCCTTCAACCACTACACCCATTGTAAGATGCCTTATTCAGGACGGACAATGAGTATAGCAGCCTGGACGGACTGGTCAGCCAATGCAGACGAGACACAACAAACTATGGCTAGCCTCTATTTTGGAGGTCTACCAAGTTTGTGGCAGGCCTTAACTGGGATGGCCTTCCAAATCCACTCTTTAACTGTAAAACAGGCGAGGGATGTAACACGCGAATACATTGTTCATGACACTCGTCTTCTAACCTTGGCTGCATCCGACGAACTCTCCCTGATCTCTGCGGAGTCTCGCTATTTATGCAAAATAAACGTCACGCGATGAACAAACACTAATTGAAAACTCTGCATGGTCAAACCTGAAAATTCCGAAATCATCACACTACCCATGTCTCCGCCCAGTCCTATACTTTGCTTTTCTTTCTACTTCTTTCCATGTCAGCCCTATTTCTTTTAGCTCTTTCTCTGATGTTCTATGCCATGTTGTTTTTGGCCTGCCCCTTTTTCTCTTGCCGTCTGCTGTCCAAAATATGCTCTCTCTTGTGATGTTATGATGGTCTTTCCTGAGCACATGTCCAATCCATCTCCACTTTCTTCTTACAATCTCCACCACTATGTCTTCCTGCCCTGACATCTCCCTGAGTTCGTTGTTGGAGACTATTTTTGGCCACCTGATCTTAAATATGGTCCGTAGGCAACGATTTTGTTTTTGATCATCAAAAACAGGTACATGTACTTTTCTAATATTGCCTTAGAGTGTGTAAGGTTGTGTTTTATTGTTTCATTATTTTCCCTTCAGAGATTGCTGTTTCCTATGCCCATTCTTTGTCCAGTATTGACCAGATAGGGTTATATTTACTAGGTTTTGTATTTATGTTTTACGATTATTTTTTCATTGACAGTGACAAAACTTCTTCTTATTGACCCTAGAATGATCCAAGGAACGCAAGTGTTACAAGCTTCTTTAAAGATGTAACGTATTCTAGGAGTGCTCAGCTGTCTATATGCTTCTGGTATATACAGTATTTCATGCAAAAAAATAGCATGATAGTTAATATAGACACAAAAAACATCCATATTTTGCACAGCGATAGAGTCTATCCATCCAAAAATATAAATCCCAGCCCTCTTAACAATTGTCACTCTAGACAATCCGTTGTGGGATCCCAATACCATTATAATTTCAAAATAATTAAAGATCAGCTTGTGTGGTTACTGAATATCATATCATTCAGTTTCAAATGGCATTATTATGAGCTGATACAAATGTATACATTTTAATTAGATGTATAAACACCCGCCACTCAAAATGCAAAAGTTGTAATTTAATCTAAATTGTCTGGCGTATTCTTTGTAAAGTAGGTCAAAGATCAGGGTACAGTGAATGATAATGCAGGTATTTTGCATAATTTTATGACAATCAGTGCACATTCTTAATAGCATAGAATAACACCCTTGAAAGTTAAAAATATGCTGTATAAGGGCATTTTGTACTTTTTGGTGAAGTAGGTCAAAGGGCAATGTCAAAGACACGAGGTCAGTAAACACCTATTTTACAAATGACATAGAGTCAAGCAATAAATGTGTAAAAATCAAAAAGCATATTAGTTTTATTAGATACAAAGATGGACACACGGACAGACAGCTAGATGGACGGACAGACATACAGACACCGGGTAAAATGATCCCTTGATACCACTCTGCATCGGAGGCGACAAATTAAAGTGACCTTAATTATATTTTAAAAAAACTGAATATAACATTTTTAATTGTTGTGTCACGTACAATTTATCTGCTATTTTTATTTTCTAATATATTTTCATTCAGGCACATATAAAGCGTTGTTTTGGAATTTATCATAAAGATTTAATAAACTTAAAGTTCTTTTATTTTTGAAAACTATGTAAAATGGTATTGTAGAATATGTTTATTTCTAAAGTAATTTTAATACAATGTGTGAAATTCTTAACGATATTTATTCTCATAGTCCAGATTTATGTACCAAGCTAATTTTGTTTGTGACATTTGTTGTTTGTATATAATGTAATTCATTTTGTGTCTTCTTATGCTCGTTTTCCTTTGATGTTATTGATTTCTTTGTTACTTAATAGGTGTCGTTCAATTAATTGTTCAAACTCAAGGTGTCATACCTGAGACTCTTATTTACTCAAGTTAAGCCCCTTAGCAAAAAGTAGTTACTTACTTAAGGTGAATAATTATTACACGTTAATTGTCTTTTTACTTATATTTTTCTTGACATCCGCAATTTTAAAAATTTTCATTGGTCACTTTTTCAAGACATAATTTTTTACGACAGGCAAGAGTCGGGCAATGCGCATCACTTTCAAGATTTCGCTCTATCAATAAACTCTTAAACTTAAGTCCAACTCTTTGCCTCTTTTTCAAGCTTCTCGGATCGAACCTACTTAAGATTGTCTTATGAAGCAGAAATAGTCTCCAATAGGAGACTAGTCCTCGACGGTAACTCAACCTATTGGCAAATTTTAATGCATAGAAAACAGAATATAATTGCACAAGTGTTTGTAACTTATATTCATTTTTTGAGTCAAAGGAAGTAATGAAACAAGTCAGGGGAAAGGCTTTTGTACATTATTCATTAAGGATACAAGTCCTGTTTCTCAAGATAAATTTGTAAAAAAAACTGCATTAAGGCCAAAGTTTTTTTCTCTTGGTTTACGATTCCGCCAACGCTATTTTTCCCTATTTACGAAAATAAATATAAAATATGTCTGGCTCGAAATTTTCTTGACCGAACCAAAATTTACAACACATCTTAATCATTGACCCAAACACTTATAAACATTCAATGAACTCTACAAATACAGAAGTCAGATTGTAAAACCACATTGCCAATGACCATTGTGCCAATGACCATTGCGTCGAATACTTCGTCGGAACTCCTCTAGACTTTACACTTCCGGGTATGAAAAAGTCCATCGTTACAAGTTATACACAAAAACATGAACAAGACGCAAAACAGCTGGACAGCTATCGATGTCATGCCAAAGATGTAGGAGAAGATTTTAGATCTTATTATTGTCAAATAATTAATTCATGCTGTGAATATGTGACGTGTAACCGAGCGGATGTTACAACAATAATAAAAATAATCAAATATATACAAAAATATTAACTCTCAATTTAGACTGAGCTACTTGCTCAAAAAGTGATTCGTGGGAAAGCTCAGATAACTTCTGAGAACCTAACAAAGAGAAATTATTTACAACAAAAATAATGTATGGGACGGGGTAAGAATCTCAACCTAGCTCTATTTAATTACTTGTCTCAAATGCATCTCACACTGCTGGATTACCTATTTATAAGTGTTATAAGTTTTACTTTATTTAATTAAAGCCTAACTTAATGTAAGAAAGGGAAGGAAAGACTTGTTCAGTCACGTCTTATCCCTGTCTCACCTTAACCTAAGTTTTCCTCAGCAGCTTCTTCTCTAACCGTCTTACTTCTCTGCAAAAGCCGACAGAATGTGACAGAATGTGTTACACCACTGTGAAGACATCGCGTTTATACCATCCTAAGTAGCATACTCGATTCTCGTTGGATAACCAATAAAACTGATCTTCTCTCTACTAGAGAGTTCCAAATTCAACGATAAGTGTTAACTAAATCTACCATGTCTTAATTATGATCGGGTTCGATGTTCAATATAGTATGTTGATGTTTACTGAATAAACGTTACATGGTGTCAGAAGTACACGTGCACCATTGATTTTGGTGAATGCTATCCCTCCTATTCGGCATGAGTAACGGAGATGGTGAAAATCAGGCAGATGGTGTTGCAGCGGCACCGCAGAGAGTGTATGTCCCGACAAATATACCGTTTCCAGCGAAATTGGACATTCGAGGCAGCTTGGCTACGAATTGGCGCCATTTTAAACGGGTATGGGAGAACTATGAAATTGCAACCGGACTGAAAGATAAGAATAATGAATTGCGTGTAGCAACTTTATTAACATGCTTAGGTGCAGAAGCATTATCTGTTTACGATGGCCTCAAGTTCAACAACGATGAAGATCGTAAAGATATCATCAAAGTACTACAAGTACTAGAAGACTTCTGCATAGGTCAGACGAATGTGATATACGAACGATACACGTTCAACAAAAGAGAACAAGAGTTAAATGAAACCGTTGACAGTTATGTTGCTTCATTACGCACACTTGTGAAAACCTGTAGATTCGGTGCTTTACAAGAAGAAATGATTCGAGATAGGATCGTACTCGGGATTAGGGACAATCACACAAGAAAGAAACTGTTACAGGAGAAAGGTTTAGACTTACAACGTTGTGTTGACATTTGTAGAGCTAGTGAGAAGTCAAGTTCACAACTTCGAGTGATAGAAGAAGTGCAGTTTGTGAAGAAAACTAAACAAGTGTCAGATAAACAGAAGAAGGTTCCTAGAGACAAACATGAAGTAAGCTGTGAGTACTGTGGTTTACGACACCGTAAGGATAAAGCAGATTGTCCGGCTTATGGCAAAGAGTGTTCTTCATGCGGACGCAAGAATCACTTTGCTCGTGTGTGTAAACAAGGGAACACTAAGCAGCAGAAAAAGTTCCGACCTGGCAGAAGGCCACATTCAAAGAAATTGGTACATGATGTGAATGACTATTCATCATCCAGTGAATGTGAATATGTTCTCACTGTCGAAGAAGTACACAATGTCAACAAGAAAAAGAAGATTACAGCTCAGATGCTTATCAATGACCAAACCGTACATTTTCAGTTGGATTGTGGATCTAGTGTGAATATTCTACCTGAGACATTGTACAAGAAGCTGTGTAATGACCAAGAGAACCTGACAGAAACTAATATGACATTAGTGATGTACAACAAGAGTGAGACGAAGCCATTGGGGAAAAGAAGGCTGACTGTTCGCAATCCTAGAAACAGAAAAAAGATAGTGTCAGGAACAGGACTTAACCCTATTCTTGGAGTTTAGGCGATACAATCGATGAAACTTATCACTGTGAATGAGCAGAACTTTGTCGCACAGATTGGTGGAAAGTGTAGTGACACTACAGAGCCTCTTACCAAAGAACATTTGAAACAACAGTATCCAACATTATTTGATGGACTTGGAAAACTTGAAGGAGTGTTACACCTCAGGATTGACACTACTGTGCAGCCAACAAAGATACCTACCAGGAAAGTGCCACTATCGCTCAAGTCGGATCTAAAGAAAGAACTTGATCGGCTACCGAATCTAGGAGTTATCTCTCCAGTAACGACTCCAACTGACTGGATATCATCCATGGTTGTAGCGAGGAAGTCAAATGGGGCAATTAGACTTTGTATTGATCCGAAACCCCTAAATGTAGCACTTCAGAGGAATCATTACCCCACTCCAACAATAGAAGACATCCTACCAGATTTGACAAAGTCCAGGATTTTCTCAGTGGTGGACGCGAAGGACGGATTTTGGCATGTCCTGCTCGACAAAACCAGTAGTTTCCTAACAACATTTGGAACACCCTGGGGACGTTACCGTTGGTTGAGGATGCCTTTTGGCATAGCACCAGCACCTGAAGAATTTCAGAGGAGGATGGATGAAGTACTTGAGGGTTTGAATGGAACCAAAGCAATTCACGATGATATACTTGTCTACGGTTGTGGAGACACAGATGAAGAAGCGATTAGAGACCATAATCGAAAGCTAATTGAGTTGATGGACCGATGTAAGCAGAAGAACATTAAACTGAACCTTGACAAACTGAAATTAGGACTTACATCAGTGTCTTACCTTGGACATGTTATTTCAAAGCAGGGACTGAGTGCTGATCCAAGTAAAGTACAAGCAATTAGAGAGATGCCTACTCCTACAGACAGACAAGCAGTACAGCGTTTGTTAGGAATGGTCAATTTTGTGCAGAGATTTGTACCCAATCTTTCAGAAGTTACTTCTACGCTTCGGGACTTGTTGAAAAGTGACACTTATTTTCATTGGGATGAGCAAGTCCATGGAAATGCCTTCAGCACTATTAAGAAGATTTTGTCAGAAGCACCGGTGTTGAGTTTCTTTGATCCAAATAAAGAGACGATACTACAGTGTGATGCATCGCAAAATGGATTAGGGGTTTGTTTGATGCAGGATGGACATCCGGTTGTGTATGCTTCGAGAGCATTGACCCAGACAGAGTGCAATTATGCGCAAATTGAGAAAGAATTGCTGGCCGTAGTTTTTGGACTCGAGCGTTTTGAGAATTACACGTATGGTCGTCACGTCAAGATAGAGTCAGATCATAAGCCGCTTGAAATCATCCAAAGGAAGAGTCTTGTGATGGCACCTAGGAGACTTCAGAGGATGCTATTGCAACTCCAGAAGTTTGATTACGAGATAGTCTATAGGAAAGGTGCAGAGATGTACGTAGCAGATACGCTAAGCAGAGCTTATCTACCAGCATCAGAAGAAGACATGGAGAGAGCAAGCATATTCGATATTGATCAGAGGAGCTACATATCAATATCCGACGCAAAGATCATGAAAATAAAAGAAGCGTCTGAGGAGGATGAAACAATGAAGTTGTTGAAACATGTCATCAAGTCGGGATGGCCAGACTGCAAGGATGAACTTCCAGATAAAGTTCAGTGTTACTTCCCATTCAGAGATGAACTTGTCATCCAGGACGGCCTAGTATTCAAAGGGGAGAGAGTTGTGATTCCTGATAGAGTTCGCAGAGACATTATTGAGAGGGTTCACGAAACACATATTGGAATACAAGGATGCCTAAGAAGGGCACGAGAGACAGTGTATTGGCCCAATATGAACAATGACATTGAGAATTATATACAGTGTTGTGAAATTTGTAGTTCATGTCAGCCTGACCAGCCAAAGGAATCAATGATTTCACATGATATCCCAAAGAGAGCCTGGGAAAAAGTTGGTTGTGACTTATTTGAGTTTGACGGAAATGACTACCTTATATGTGCAGACTATTTCTCAGATTTCTTCGAAATAGACAGATTACATGGAAAGACTGGCAAGGAAGTCATTACAAAGATGAAAGCTCAGATAGCGCGTCATGGCATTCCGGATGTTATTATATCTGATAATGGGCCACCATTCAACAGTAGAGAATTTCAGGATTTTGCTGAAAAGTACGAGTTCGAGCACAGGACTTCATCTCCTCGTTACCCTCAGTCAAATGGGAAAGCAGAAAACGCAGTCAAGATTGCTAAGGCCCTAATGCACAAATGTGTCCTTGACCAGAAAGATCCTTTCTTAGCACTTTTGGACTGGAGAAATACACCAAGTGAGACCATTGGATTTTCAGCTGCAGAAAGACTGTTTGGCAGGAGAACCAGGACTAGACTCACACTTTCCTCAAAGCAGTTGAAAACTCATAATTCCAGTGGGATCTCCAGGAAGCTGTACAAGAGGAAAGGAAAAGAAGCTAGCTACTATAACCGCGGCACAAAGGAAATGCAGAAATTACATGCGGGAGACACTGTACGAATTCGTCCATTCGGGAGAGAGAAGTCGTGGACAAAAGCACAAGTAAGAGATCAAGTGGATATTCGCTCCTATGAAGTTCGTACAGAAGATGGACGCGTATATAGGAGAAATCGAAAACATCTACGACTTAGCAGGGAACCGTTTTCTAAGGAAGACTTACCCAGAAACACCAGTTTGTTCCCTGATGTAAATAAAGACAATTTGGAGACTAGTGTTTCTACTAACAGAGACATGGACAGAGTGGAAACCCCAGTTCAGAGTACATTACAAGCACAGAACACACCGATAGTTGACAAGGGTATCACACCAGCCAAAACATGTCCTTTACCAAATCCAACATCTGAAGTATCGGGCAAACGTCATACAAGGAGTGGCCGCGAAATCAAACCTCCACAGAAGTATCAGGATTTCGTGTGTAATGTTGAGTGTTTTGTGTAGGAGAGGTAGATAGTGATAAGGTCATAATAATACCTTGTCTACCTCAGGTTTCCAAAGAAATCTAGTCATTTTGTTTTCTATGTTGCTACAAGTAGTTGCATAACAGTTTAGTTTGTTTGTATGTTATTGCAACCCAGTAATTATTTTTAATACTCTGACGTTCAAATTCTGGACAATATAGACTATTATGGGACTTTATGTATAATTTACATTTGAAAAATGCCTGGTTTGTAAATTCATAATTTTTAAGAAAAATCTTGAGAAAGGGGATGTAACGATAAGTGTTAACTAAATCTACCATGTCTTAATTATGATCGGGTTCGATGTTCAATATAGTATGTTGATGTTTACTGAATAAACGTTACAAGTTATCTATAATCATCACAAATACAGACATATTTTTATTGATAAATTGTGAAGGTATTAGCTTTCTAAGAAGTTACACATCATAAGACAGATTCGATAAACATAAGTATATAGCTGTTTAATCGGCATGCAGGTTTGCATAACTTTTATTAGAAACAGAATTTTATATGAAAACAAGTTTGAAGAGAAATTAACAAAATTATGACTATGCAAAAAGCCTGGAAATCTAATGAGAAGACAAATTTTAGAAGTTTAAGATTATACTACTATATAAGAAACAAAAAAATGTTTGATAAACAATTAATCTGACAATAAGAAACTTTAACGGTTTAATAGTAGTAAATTTTATTTAATTTCACTGCTGTTTTATTATTTTTTCTAGATATTTATATACCTTGTAATTAGGGGAAATATCTTTTAAGATTATAGATTTCTTTTTTAATCATTTTAAATACAATGTTTATACAGAAAATTTTTGAAATGTGATGTCAGTTTTAAATAATGAAATAGTTTTATAACGATTAAAAGTGCCACGTATACGGACCAAGAACTTCAAGTCTCTCTAAATTTCAAAACTTCTCCTCAAATTTCTATGAGGGAGAAGTGAAGTCACCTTAATCGGGTGGGTCTAGGTTGGTCCCTGGACACAAATGTACATATCTTTAGGTAAAGGTTTGTTGTGAAATCACTTTTGGAGTTTCCAAAAAAGTGGAAAGGCTGACCATAGAAGAGCCAATTTGCTTAATTTTACCAATATTTGTCCAAGTGCAATATATGTCTTTTATGGAAATTCGGACTTGTAAGTCGGAAGAATGAAAGCCATTAACAGTAACAGAGTCTCTGTTCTTGAGTCATTTGACGTGTGATTCATAAAAATAATTTTAAAAGTTAAAAAATCTTATTTGTTTATTATTTTTAGACATTTCAATGTACTCGAGAAAAAAATATGTCAAGGTTCTAAATTATTTTTATTTTTCGACCACCCAATGCATATTTTTGTGTCAGAAAATTGAAATCCAAAAAAAAAAATAAATAAAAACGTTGGCCTAATATACTTCAAATTAAAACTGAACAGGTTTATTCCATGCCCGAAAGACCAAAAATCCAGCTATATCATGTAAAAAAAAAAATAAAATGCTCATGATAGAATAACCGTATATAAAGGGTGGATATAATCAAACCTTGAAATGAAATATTGAAATGCTGATAAACAGTGCCATACTTCTACTCATCATTTACACAGACATATACATTTTCCCCCAAAAGCTTTTAAGAGGACTTTTACGATTGTCTCAGGTAGAAAAAACCCGCAATTTTCAGTATGCTCAACATAAGAGATTCTATAAGAGTTATTTTGTCATAAGAATAAGAAAAAAACAAAAATTAAGAGCAAATTTTTTTTCCAGCTCTCTAAAATGGTTTCAAATTGGTAAATTTCCTTGAAATGGTTTATTGCCTATCAAACAGTTTTCAAAAATTTCGTAATAATTTCAACCTTCCGTAATGTAATTTCTCAAAGATAACATGTTCGTTTGCATACATGTAAACACAAGTGCTGATTGCATTGGTTGGGTCTAACACTTACAAAAGTCATAAGCAAATTAAAGACGGATAAGCCATTATTTAACGTTAATCTCCGGAGTCTTAAAACTTATTTTTCTCTGAAGGGTCTTTGCCCCAGTTCAACTTCTTTCGGTACCAATTTTTTTGTATATAAAACAATAGATTACTTTTAACACTAGCCATATATCATTTTACTGTTGTAAAAAGTGAGGAGTACATGGAATGGGCAATAAGCCTTACAATGACCATATTCAAAGTTAAAGTTATTTTTAGAAAAAATTGGGAAGTCAGCCACCACCATCCCCCCATCGCCCTCCTCTCCCCCGTTTCTACGTGCCTCATGTTACATGTATCAGGACATTAAGGTTGTACAGATAAACTGATTATCAATCAAGTTAATTCAGAAAGATCGTCTCACAAGTAATTCTGATGTAAAGTATTAATGTCCTATCTTCCCCTCTTCAAATGTTATGTACATCTTTTGTTCAAATTTAAATCAAACTTTAAGGTCAATTTCAGAGTAAAATTGGACAGATCAAAAAAAATATGATGTAAATATCCTGTAAATGCAATTTTTCTCGATAAAACTATGTTGCCGACAAAATAGATTAAAAATGATTGGCAGTTTTTGTCATGGCTTTATTGATTAATAGTCAAATCAATCATCAATACAACCAATAGTCAAAATCAATCATCACTATAATCAAAAGTCAAATCAATCATAAATACAATGAAAAAATATTATCATAGATAATTCAATTTATGCAGCTTTGAGAAATTTGGTAAATTTTACACCGTCGGATTTTTACGGATTTTTGAGCCAATCAAAACTATTGTTTTACTTTGCGCAATTTTTCCGTAGCCTGTGTACCCTAAGGTAGATTTTCCGCAACTTCCATGGAATTCCAAAGCATATTCCATGGAATTCCATGGAATTTTTGTTCCGCGGATTTCTTTAGAATTCTCCGGAGTATTGGGACGGAACTTTTTCGGAATTATTTGGAATTTTGAATCTAGCCTGGAAAAGAGCGGAACAATGCCAGAATGGAAATTTGCGGAGGAAATCCGTGGAATTCCAGGATATTTGTAAATCTAAGGAATTCCATGGAATTCCAGGATTCCAAATACATGTACAAAGAAAACTGAAACTAGAGCTGTCCAATAGGGACAAATACCCCCCGCTGGGTTTTTCAGAGAAGGTGCCAATTCAAAAATACTTTATGGATCTAGAGATGTTCACAATTTTCTTTAAAAAATTTGCAGTGAAATAAAATTGCTCATCATGTTTCTTAATGAATGAAACGGAGGTGCAACCAAATGAAACATCAATACTAAATACATTGTAATTCCATTGTAACATTTTTTTGGAATTTTTTTCATTTAATTTTTCTTCATTACTGCATTAAAAAAATATATATATTGCAATTATGTGTTATGTCACTCTGCAAACTGATTGTTGAAAAAAAAACCATTATACAAAATCAAATTAATCTTGATATATCAATTTGAAATGCATTTTGAAAATAAAGAACTGGTCATCCAGTAATGAAGTGTTTTGACAGACAATAAATTACAATTAAGAGAATAAGAGAAGAGAGATCTTTAATTCTTGTGCCTTATTCCCTGAAGATTTGATAACACACACACTTGATAAGAGATATGCCTAAACAACTTCCAACACCAAACTCATTAATTTATCTTTAACTGGATGCATGTCCAGTCATTATTCCTGAGAGACAAATGAAATTACATTATCTTCTGTGCAATGTAAAAACTGTTTTTAACACTTGATGTTTCTTTTTTTTAAGTTTTTATGAGTAGTTTTAAGCTGTAGTTCACGTTTTTGTACAGATATTCTAGATTCTATGTCTCAAACCTTAAACATGAGCCCAAAATGAACAAGTTAATTAAAATTTTAAAAAACCTGTAAAATGCAGAAAAAAGGAACAAAAAGAGTTGAAAATTCCAAGTGCATAACTTCATATGGTGAATAATAATTGTACAAATTTTCAGATTAATCCTTGCAATAGTTTATGAGAAATGGTCCAAACAAAACCCCAAAATAAAAATGAAAAAACACCTGTAAAATTCAAAATAATAATCCAACCAAGATGAAAAATATCAGGTGCACAACTTCATATGGTGAATAATATGTGTACAAATTTTCAGACAAATCCTTCCAATAGTTTCTGAGTAATGGTCCGGACAAAGTCTCGTCTACAGACAGACGGACAGACAGACAGACAGACATGGTGATTCCAATATACCCCCCCCCCTAAACTTCGTTTGCGGGGGGTATAATAATTAGTGCCAAATAATTACAAAAAAAATCAATAACATCACAATGTTTCATAGATCAAATCTATATTTTTAAATACAAAATTAATTTTTTCTTTATAATGTTTTTGAGACAAATATTGCATATGATATAACTCTCAGATGTACAATATAAGCACACTTTCATAAAGTATTCTCACGGAAAGTATTTTACATTAAATGTTATTTACAGAGAAAATATGATTACCGGAGAATCAGTCACCTTGGTTAAATTAATTATAATCATGTTATGATATACATGAATTTAGTAAACTCCAGTCTGCATTTTCTAAAATAAGAAGTAAGTTTTAATAAATGAAATCGGCTATGGAATTGAAATAGTCATCGACACCTCAACAAAGTATACATTTACAATGAACTGCCAGTGGCTTATCATGCTTATGTACTGGTACAAAGTTATTGACTAGAGTGACAAACACATGTATTACATGCAAAAAATATTTACTACACAACTATATTGATACAATGATCCCATAAAATCAACAGATGCTATTTCCCCCCAACGCACGTGCCAAAGATCCCAATTAATGAAGATCCAAAACTTCTGACGTGTTTGCTAGAGAATCACTTCCTCACTGATATTCTATGAAATTAGCAAATGGTTATGTTAGAAGGTTGAGTCAACCTGGTTGACAGATAATTGGTGTCACGAACGGATTCACTTTCAGTACGAAGTCTCAGAAAGTTCGATGTTGATCATTCCAACAGACACTTCAAACTTTCGATCCTTGCACGATTTCTGAATGAAAAAGATGACCATTAGATGCATCATTATTGATATCCATGTAAATTTATGACAAACAATAAACAAAAGCTATACAAAACAATTGATTTTTTTTACCTGGCAAATCAGTTTACTATTGAATATGAATTAATTCACTATCTTGCCATATTTTGTTCAAATTAGGATTAATTCTGATGAATGTATAAATGTGAAAAGTTTATTGATGACAGACAACATCAGGCACTGATCAAAAAACTCACTAAGGCCTTAAAATAGTTCAGGTAAGCTACAACAAAAAGGTTTGAGCTCAAGCTCAATGCCTGACTTACACTGAAAAAGATAATTTCAATTCATGTGATTTATTGATTTAGAAAATAATTCAGAAATCTTACCTTTATGTTTTTCTTTTCATACACCTCTTGTCCTTGTGAGCACCCGGATTCCTATAAAATGCATGTATACTTCATATTAGATGATTGCTATTTGATCTAAAGTAATTAGGCATGTCTGTGCAGTTTTCATGTTTAGATTACATGTCAGAATGCATTGTTATTATAAATTAATTGAATAAGGAATTCAAGCGTGTTAAGAATAAACCTTTAAATTTTGTTTACTTGGCAAAGTTGCAATAATTTTTTTAATAACGAGGGCAGTGAGCGTCGTGTAACGAGCTCAATATACTATATCGTGTATGAACGGAGGAAATTTGGGTTGAAATCTTCACTTCGTTCCAAGAAATTTTTATCTCACAGCGTGAAAAAATCCAATAATCCTTTGCGGTGAAGAGTCAACAGGACTTATTATTTGATGTCATACTTTTGTCACTTAAACGGCTCAGGTATTTCAGATTTTGTAGGAAACTTTCGAAAATTCAGAATCTCTATCCCTATGCCTGGGTAGTGGGAATTGATTTGTTATTCTGTTCTTCTTTTTTAATGAACTGAGGATAGGCAGTGCATGTAAAATCTGTATAAAGGATTTTGAAAGTAAATAACTGTGCTCGCCCCCAACGGTCGCACTGTAGAACACATTATTATGTTAATAGACATGGATTAATAAAATCAGAGTTAGTTAACTTGGTTTGAGCGATAATTTGAGCTTGTTCTCACCATATTCACAAGCCTAGAGACTGATTGGCTAAGCATCTACATGCACCAAGTTATCAAACGCCAGCGCTGAGGCCAGTGAGGGGATCATCTCAGACACAATACACCAACAGCTATAAAATAATTAAATTAAGAGCTGAAAATGATGATGAACATGCCTTAAAATATATATAATTAATTACATTGTGCATCATACTCTCATGACTCTGTAAATGTTATCTTGACTTGAACAAAGGAACGTATAGGTAAATTCTTTACATAAGTTCGACCCCAAACGAGGACATTTGGGTTAAAATCCATGATCTTAATGAGATGTTTAGAGTTTTTTAATAATTAATTATAATTGAAATAGTGCACTAACGATTTCACAGTCAGGCAGTTTATGTGTGGTGCCCAGACTAATGAACAGTAGGCCTAGCAGAAGCGTTCTTCATTCAAGGACACATAAAATACTGTAAAATATTGTACCTACCGGGTCTTAAAATGTCTTCATCTTCTTCCATCTAAAGCTAATCATGATTCTCCTGTTCTAGACACTCTCTTTCCAACTTGAACTTTCCTTCTGTGCAACATCAACATGGCATTCGATATTTTTGAATTTCAGCTTGTTGTTTAAATTAATTGTTCATCGAGCCCGACTTCGATCCCGATGTTATTGTACTATTGGTCGACAGTTAAAAAATTCTAAGTAATTTTCCGCAGTTTTCCAGTGCAGAAAATGGTTGAGTTTCTCATTTTATCATTTTTTCCAAAGAATTCCAATACTTTCCAAAGCAAAAAATGTCTAAGTCCATTTATTTTTTCAAATTCCAATATATTCCAAGTACTTCCAGACATACTTTTCGACTTTGGTATGGAAACGAATGGAATTCCATGGAATTCCAAATTTTTCCAAACCCTTTGGAAAATCTACATTAGGGAAGTGCTGTGAAAAATTAAAAAGATATCGACGGATATTTGAGACACATAAGCTTGTACGTGTTTATATTCCTTGTCCTAGGAACACCAAAGTAACACTAAAGAGCTATAATACCAGATAAATTCAAGACAAGTACGTCTTAGAAGTGTTTAATTTTCTTGTGTTTATGTAATACCGCATGGGCGAAACATGGCGGGGGTGGATCCCAATTCTGATTCTGTAGAAATGCAGTTTATGCATATCTGTCTCTTGGGACATTCTTACATACGAAGACTCTTGGAGTTCATTAACTTTAATACAGATTTGAAGAACTTGAAGTAAGATCCCGCAAATTACAAAATATCTGTGTGCGCACTACGTACATGTGGCCTCCGACAGATGCTGTGTAGAATTCCTGGAACGCCCGATACTTACTTCCTACAAATAGGCGGCAATGACATTGGTCACTTACCCAACGAAAAGATTGTCACAGACATTATTTCTTTCTCCGAATTCCTGATTCATGGTTTGGACTCGAAGAGGGTCATAATTAGTCAGCTTCTTAGGAGGGACCCATCTGTTAATGCTGCGGGTTTCAACGACTCCGTTTTCGAAATTAATCGCCTCCTTACAGGAAGGACTCAGTCACTTGAGAATATTTTTTTCTGGAGACACAGGGGTTTCTGGCAAAACCTGTCACATTTAGCGAGGGACGGCGTACACCTCGACAACCCCCCTCTAAAGCATTTGAAGCCCGGGGATCCCCCTTCGCCCATGTACAAATTGTTTGAACATATTTTATTGTTAAGATCTTACAACAAAAGGATTGGACACAAGTACTTAATACTTAGAACGTCCTCTCCTTTATAACAATTAATTACACAAAGTTTTGTTCAAAAATTAGTTTACACTGGAACCAAAGGTCAATAAGATTATTTAACATAAGTAATGCATGTACAGAATCTAAAATTGTTGTAGTATGTACAAACGAATCAAATTACTCAAAAACGACCAGATCTCTTGATAAACAATTGCACATTTAAAAATAAACTTTCATTTTCAGAAATACTGATCGTATTATCTCCCCATAACAGAACATGAGTGTCTACAATACTTAAGTTATTCATTCTAAAGATAGCATTAAACAGGTCGTTCCTTGGAGTATTGTATTTCGCACAAGAGAAAAAGAAATGATATGCGTCTTCTGTTTTTCCACAAGTACATAATGGACTGTCAATAATATTACACCTAAATAAGTCTTTATTTAGAACACAATTGTGTCTTAATCTAGTATGAATTACACTCCAGTAACGATCGCCAAAAGTAAAAAAGGACAGGGTAGGTGTTCTACGAGAGTTTACACAGTTTTTGAAGGAACTTATAGTAGTAGATTGTCTTGTTTCAAGAGACAAAGAGTTCCACTCCCTTATTGCCATTGGAACAAATGATGATTTATATATATTTAATCTACACTTCGGGATGCAATAATTTTGTGACTGTCTTGTTACGTAATTTGATTCTTGTGATCGAATATTTGGAAATATTTCTCTCAGATACTCGGGTACCATGTTATAATATATTTTATACATAGTTGTTCTAACTTTTGACATTCGTCTTACAGCAAGTGGTTCCCAACCAGTTTCAAAATAGAGAGAATCTCGCGATGCTAATGAAGTTAAACCAGTGACTATTCTTGCCGCTGCAAGTTGTAATTTTTCTAATTTTTCGGAATCTTGACTAGAACACCCACACCAAACTTCAGTTGCGTATTCTAACTGAGGTCTTATAAAAGAAGTATATAACAGAGATAAAGTTTTAGCACTGACCCTGAATTGCAGTTTTTTAAGTAGACCTAATTTTTTATATGCATTGGTCACGATAGAATCAATGTACGCTGACCACGTGAGGTCGTTTGAAAAGAGAATACCTAAGTGATTATGTGATGATACAAAATCTAAGTCACAATCTTGAAATTTGAGCAATGGTAAATTTACATTTTTCTTGGTACTAAAAAATACAGCTTTGGTTTTCGTAGGATTAAATTTCAATAACCACTGTTTAGACCACCGCTCAAGTTGATTTAAATCATTATTTCACACCTCCTAACCTCATTAGCATAAATCGGAAGAATTCGGAGGTAAACGTAACGAAATATGAACAAAATCCGTAAACGTCCGAACAGCTTTCCTCGCGAGAATTCAGCGAGACCAACATGTTACAGGTGAAAATCGAGAGAGAAATTCGACATGAAAAAAGAGGTAAAACTTTATGTTATCTCGATTTATAATTTTTTTAAATTGCAAAAAGTTGAAAAACTAACGTTTCTTTACCTGAAAAGTGAAAGTAGGTTTGCAGTTTCTTATTCTGTCAAGTGCTATTGCACTTTAAAGTGTCAAAACAGCACCTCTCGATTTTGTAAACATGTTTCCACGTGGAAGGGAGTAGTTGTGATGATCATGATTAACCCACATGCATTGATTTAGTGAACAAAAACACTCGTAAGTAGAATATCATTTATTTTTTCGATTACCTCTAGCACAAAATGGCTAAATATTTTAGGGTATGTTTGTCAAATGCTGTTAATAGCATGTCTAAAACTGAAGAGAAAATGCAGGTGTGCTATAGTTCGTTCCTACTTGTAAGGTAGTCTACTATGCATGCATATGCAGAGTTACGCGCATAAAAGTAATTATTCTTACTTATCAATAGGTCTATGGTGATGACCATATGTGTTTTTTCAAATACCATGAGACTAAAATTTAATTCTATCCGTACTCGTGTGTATGCACAAGAAGTCCTTCCGAATTTCCTCTACACATATACATGTGTATCTTGATAAAGGATTTAAGGTTTGTTTACATTTGTTTGCAGTTTTAATAGTGTCAGCTGTTTAGCCTATATCAATCATGCAGTTTTCAATTCTAGCCTTCTGATCAAAATGTGGTTGTTACTTTTCTTATTTAATATATCATAGAATTTATGATGAGATGATATTAATGCAGTTCACACATACTTGTGATGTATATATCAGGTATGAAACTTCACATATGCAGTTGTCGCCCACGTGGCGCAGTGATTAGAGCGTCTGCTCTAGAGTCGGGAAGTAAGTAGTCAATCCGTACGTCGCTAATTTGAATCCCACTGAGGGACGTGGAGACCGGTCCTTGAATGAGACCGTATAAACCGAGGCCCGTGTTGCTGTAAGTGCTGGCACAAAAAAGATTCCTGCATTTTTGTTTGTAAGAATACATGTATTTAATTACATATTGTTTAATTATTTCAATGTGTTAAATGAAAAGTAATTTTCTTTTTTGTTTGTCTATTGCAGGTACAGCTGTAGAGTACATTTTGAACAGCCATCTCCAGGTATGACAAAAGTAACACAATTGACCCTATAAGCTTAAATATAATCAAGCATTATTGAATTTAGAAAATGTACAAAATGAAGCACAAATGTGAAATCATTGTAGGCCCAGGCTAGAAATAGTTTTTTTTTTTCACTGCTCACTCAGGCTTTTTACTGGTCAGATCATTATAATATCACTATCCCACTAGGCTACTAGATATAATAAAAAAGAGACTGACCCAAAACCATAATAATAATTATCATGATAAATGTAATAGTTATATTTTGTTTATTTAATGTGATACACAGTTGGACATTCAATAATTGATCTAAACAAAATAGGATTCCGAAATGACAGAACTTTGAAACAAGCCTGTCAAGTTGCTAGCCCAACTATAATTGTATTTCATTATACATGTACATAGAACTGACCCAAAAGACAGATGACCCCTACCATGTACTATCCTAGATAAAACAAAATTCACTGACCCCAGTCCAGTGGGCCTTCAATTTTTTTTTTAGCCTTGCATTGTAAAGTCAGCTATCGAGACATTTCGTCCTTTTTTGTTGTTTGTTTTTTAATGCACTATCCCATACAAATTATACACACAAGAAAATATATTTTTTCTCCACTTTTAAAATATGGGCTTTACTGATCTTTACATGTATTCAATGTATGTCTTAATTTTCTTTTGAAGAATGACATTGTTGATTGAATTTAAAAATGGTCTTCAATATGTATGCACATGATAGTGATGATACTGTATTAAATGCACAAAAATTATAATTTCATTAAAATAAAACAAAAAAAGCAAATATAAACTTTAAAA